CTCACATCACTCCCCATGTCCCTTCCCCAAGCAACCACTGATCTATTATGAAAGTATTCTTATTTCAACAGTTTAGTATTATAGATTCTTATTTTTATAAAGAAATCTGAATGTCTGTTTTCACATGTTTAGTGTGCAAATGGACTGACTTTATACAGTCAACAGGACAGCATGAATACACTTCAACCAAACTCATGTAGGCTAGCAAAGGTCAAAATAAAATAAAGATGCTCCTTGCATAACGGTAGTGGTTCCCTTGTGGTCTACTGGTTAGGATTCGGTGCTCTCACAATGGTGGTGGCCATTCTACAACTACAGAAAACAAATGTTTTATATTGAATGCTTTCCAGCAACTACTCAGAAACACAGATTCAGGCACATTGTATTTTCCCAAGGTAAATGGGCTATTCAGAAAACCAACATTACCAACCTTACATTAAGACATGTGTTTGTAGATCAGGGATAATGGATAGAAAAGCTTAAGTAGATGTTGACCCTCTGAAATCTAGGTCTAGAATTTGTTATTATTAAATATTAAAGAATTCTCATTAGGCAGTATAAACTACCCTTTATTTTCTTAGCATTCTGTTTTCCTCTCCTTCTCCTTACTCCGACTTTGGCCAAAAGGTGAAAAAGCAGTCCTCGATGTGTGTATTATAGTCACTGTGCTAAACATTACTTTCTAGTGAAGGGACAAAGGGTGAGCAGGTCTGCTTCTGTCCTAGGTGTGGCAACGAGGAACAAAGATTTGTGCATTCCTTTGTGTGCTTGTGCGTGTAAGGAAATACAATTAGATTGGAAATAGAATTTCTTTGCTGGTAGTCTTCTGTTTTTGTATCTGTAAACGAAGAACAGTAGTTACAAAGCTGTGTTAAAGGTAGAGGACACATATAGAACAAATCTGGTGCACGATATGTACTGCTCAGAGAAGGCTAGTTATTCTTTTATTGGTTAAAACTTTTCTATTTTAATGCTTTTTGAATCAAAATGTACACACATCTCCCATCTCCAACCCACTTGCCCTTTAGAAAATGGTTGTTGATTTTGTGAACTCTGGGAGCTATAGCTGTATCTGGTCAAGAAAATCTCCTAGATTGGCAGTCTATTGAGTTAGCGGCCAGGAAACAGCCAGGAGAGGGTCACTGCTGATTAGAACTGACATCTAAGACTTTTTAAAATGAGTCCGTTCCCAGTCTGCACATGTACTCCACTTCATAGAATTGCAAACCCTGTTACTTAAAATAGCACGGACACTGCACTTACTTTCTGCTGACAATTAAAACAATTAAGAATAGTTATAAGTTCAGGCACTGCTAAGTCCCTCATAAAATGTCCTCGAACCTGGTACAGCTACATGGATTTTAAATGATGTCAGTCCCACATGATGTGGGGACGAGTACTCTGTCCTTGAATTGTTTTTTTCTCTTTCATGAAGAGAAAATACAGAAACTGAGAGTGCCAGCACAGGCAAGTGCATGATTTAGCATTTGACAAAGTTGTTGCTCTGGTGGGGACTGGGACAGAAGAAGCCCCGGGCCTTCACTACAGTAATTCACAAAGCACTGATTTAAGATGAAATCTTTGTGCATAAGCGGGTAACAATTTATGTGGTCTGACTTGTGGAGAACTGGGCTGCCCCGAATCTCTCCCCAGGACTTCTCATGAAATCTGATTTTATAATAAGGATTTCTTTTCTTAGGGTCACAGACTGAAAGATCAGGGATTAAGATCCTTTTATAGTATTTCTGAGAAAAGTGAAAACTAACATTAATTGAACAACTACTGTCTGAGTGGCTTTTACATTTATGATTATAATTTTGATAAATGCTGGCCTAATCCCCTGAAAGAGTTTAGTTATCATGAAGGCCACTTAGTGGTATGGTGAGTATATGTCAGCAAAAAATAGAAAGGTTGTGTGTGGGGGGGTGGGGGCAGAAAATTCATAATCAGAATTTGAGCGGCTTCCTGGTTTTTCCCTGTAGGTAACTACTCAGAGGCTCTATTTGATCACTTTGAGGTTGTTTCTGAGTCAACTCATTGTGCTCGCTGCACAACAGGCCAATAAATCAAGAGACAAAGTGTTGGGGCAAGGAATAAAGACTAGATTCGGAAAGCCAGCAGACAGAGAAGATGGCGGACTAATGTACTAGAGAACCATCTTACCCAAGTCAGAATTCAGGCCCCTTTTATACTAAAAATGGGAGGAGGTGTGGTTGGTTGTTGCAAATTTCCTGGTGTTGGAATTCTTTGTTCTTTCCTCTGTCCACATAGGTCTGGTCACGATGTTCCCATAAACCTCCAACAAGACAAATGTTACTCTTTGTTCTGCAACTTTTAATCTCTGTACGAATAGTAAAGTGTTTTACCCTTAAAGGTCAGAGTGTTAAGAATGGGCTGTCCTATATATTTCAGGCTATAGGCAACATTCCAGCATGACTAACCAGCATGACTAAGCACAGGAAACAAAGCACAGGGTTAGAACTAAAGGGACAGATCTAATATGGAGTCAGACTTGTTCTTCCCTATTACAAGGTCACATGGGATAGTATAACTTTGGATATATTCTTGCTGATACTGAGTGTCCACAAGCCCAGTGGAGAAGTGAGAACTGAAGCTGTGTATCATGTCTGATGCTTATCTAGAGGGAGGAGAGCATTCTCCCTGTTGATCTTCACCAGTCATTCATTCTGTAAATCTTCCCATCATTTACTCTGCGATGGTCTCATTTCTTGGATGTTTTACAGAGTGAGTTCTGTGTGGAAATGTACTGAGATATCAGAATAGCAAAGGAAGTCGTGTATTCTGGACTAGTTATTTTGGTTCAAATATTACAGCTTTCCTATTTTCTCTTGAGAATGTTTTCTTGATGTTTCAGGCAGAATTTCAAGATGAATAGAGAAAACAAACAAACCTTCTAGTTTCTTTAAACAAGTGTTTCTCCTAGTAGAATTTAAAAATATTTTTGAATTTCTTCTCATTT